GTGGAGCCAAGCAGGTGTGGAGCCAAGCAGGTGTTGATTACTCCCAGATTTATGGCATCTATGGGGCAGTCTTCTGATTTATGCCTCCTGTGTGAGCTGTGGAGGGTGTGGCTGTGGGGCTGTGGAGGGTGTGGCTGTGGAGGGTGTGGCTGTGGAGGGTGGAGTTCATTCTCCACGCTGACGGACTCAAGAACCACTTCACACTGACGGACAAAAGAGTCACTTATTACAGACACCAAACACTAAACAATTTCAACCGTCGGAAGCGGGCGCAAGAAGCAGGTTAGCACAGCGATGAACCAACATTAACCATAAAATATAACCCGGGTACAGTGCTGTGCGGAACTAAGCCATTACAGCGGCCGCCTAATACAGGGAACAAGCAGCCAGTTAGCACCGTGTGTGTGCGGGGAATATAACACATATCCCCATAGCGTGCAAATAACTTCCAGCGACACAGAGGACTCTTCTATCCTCAGCGGCAAGTCGTGAATAATAATTAACCTTTTGGAATACATATAATTCCAGATCATTCCCGTGTTAACAGCAGTTTTGGACGAATGGCCGGCCCACCGACCCTCCAGGTTGGGCTGCCATCCGGGACTGGAAGGTCACGACACTCATTCACTACAACCCATACAATACAACGATGAAGGGGTCCTAGTATTGTCTACACGCATAAATACAATACTTGGAATGATGACATTCTTGTGTCTGAATTTGTCGACAGAGAATGATGTGTAGCTAAGGTGAGAGCTGGGACCCCCCAGGTAACCTGAGGTGCGAGCTGGGACCCCCAGGTAACCTGAGGTGCGAGCTGGGACCCCCAGGTAACCTGAGGTGTGAGCTGGGACCCCCAGGTAACCTGAGGTGCGAGCTGGGACCCCCAGGTAACCTGAGGTGTGAGCTGGGACCCCCAGGTAACCTGAGGTGCGAGCTGGGACCCCCAGGTAACCTGAGGTGTGAGCTGGGACCCCTAGGTAACCTGAGGTGCGAGCTGGGACCCCCAGGTAACCTGAGGTGCGAGCTGGGACCCCCAGGTAACCTGAGGTGCGAGCTGGGACCCCCAGGTAACCTGAGGTGTGAGCTGGGACCCCCAGGTAACCTGAGGTGCGAGCTGGGACCCCCAGGTAACCTGAGGTGCGAGCTGGGACCCCCAGGTAACCTGAGGTGCGAGCTGGGACCCCCAGGTAACCTGAGGTGCGAGCTGGGACCCCCAGGTAACCTGAGGTGCGAGCTGGGACCCCCAGGTAACCTGAGGTGTGAGCTGGGACCCCCAGGTAACCTGAGGTGCGAGCTGGGACCCCCAGGTAACCTGAGGTGTGAGCTGGGACCCCCAGGTAACCTGAGGTGAGAGCTGGGACCCCCAGGTAACCTGAGGTGCGAGCTGGGACCCCCAGGTAACCTGAGGTGCGAGCTGGGACCCCCAGGTAACCTGAGGTGTGAGCTGGGACCCCCAGGTAACCTGAGGTGTGAGCTGGGACCCCCAGGTAACCTGAGGTGTGAGCTGGGACCCCCTGGTAACCTGAGGTGTGAGGTGGGACCCCAGGTAACCTGAGGTGTGAGCTGGGAACCCCAGGTAACCTGAGGTGTGAGCTGGGACACCCAGGTAACCTGAGGTGTGAGCTGGGACCCCCCAGGTAACCTGAGGTGTGAGCTGGGACCCCCAGGTAACCTGAGGTGTGAGCTGGGACCTCCTGGAGGAAGAGATGGTACTGCTGCTACTACTACTTTTACTACTAATAGTTTCGTGGCTACTATCCCAGCCTCTGCCACCATTATACTATTGTCTGATAGTTCACTATTGTTGCCAGAGTGACAATCAGTGCTAATCTCTGCCCCGACAATCAGCATACATAATGGTGGAGATTGTGGCAGCACTGATTGCTGTTTCATTGTGTTCTTCAAGAATTACAGCTTCGTGTTGCTTTAAAAAAAGAAATGTTGAGCCAACATCAGAGTTCATTAACAAATACGGAATGTTGACGACAGTGGCGCCACTTCCGGGAGTCACGGTATGCCTTCCCCAGCCTCCACCGGCCAGGTCCACCGGCCAGGTCCACCGGCCAGGTCCACTGGCCAGGTCCACCGGGCAGACCCTCGGCCCTCCACCCACACTGGCCAGGTCACAGGGGAGAGCCTCGGCCCTACACCCACACTGGCCAGGTCGACCGGGGAGAGCCTCGGCCCTCCACCCACACTGGCCAGGTCCACCGGGCAGAGCCTCGACCCTCCACCCACACCGGCCAGGTCCGATACCAGGAAGAGCCTCGGCCCTCCACCCACACTGGCCAGGTCCACCGGGAAGAGCCTCGGCCCTCCACCCACACTGGCCAGGTCCACCGGGGAGAGCCTCGGCCCTCTACCCACACTGGCCAGGTCCACAGGGAAGAGCCTCCCCGGTACCGGACCACCAACCTCCCGCTCTCCACACCGGTAGACTTCCGGTACGCAGGATTACAAAGATCTTAATGAACTTGAGCGGAACTTGTAAGCTTGTCTGACACTAATGTAGCGAAACCACGGTGGAGGGGTGGGGTCAGGTGGAGGGTGGGGTCAGGTGGGGGTGGGGTCAAGTGGGGGTGGGGTCAGGTGGGGGTGGGGTCAGGTGGAGGGTGGGGTCAGGTGGAGGTGGGGTCAGGTGGAGGTGGTGTCAGATGGAGGTGGGGTCAGGTGGAGGGGTGGGGTCAGGTGGAGGTGGGTCAGGTGGAGGAGTGGGGTCAGGTGGAGGTGGGGTCAGGTGGAGGGTTGGGGTCAGGTGGGGGTGGGGTCAGGTGGAGGAGTGGGGTCAGGTGGAGGAGTGGGGTCAGGTGGAGGAGTGGGGTCAGGTGGAGGAGTGGGGTCAAGTGGAGGTGGGGTCAGGTGGAGGTGGGGTCAGGTGGAGGTGGGGTCAAGTGGGGGTGAGTTAGAGGGTGGGGTCAGAGAGGGGAATGAAAGACTCCGTATTCAGTTCTAAATGCAGCTACGACGGAGACCATTGTCTTGGATACCAGACGGTGGTTCCCAAGACACTTTCAAATGGACGGAATTTCTACCATTCGATGCCTCTGCTCATCTACAAATACGATACAGGAACCATACTGGCTGGGAAAGGAACAAGTGGACTTTGTTCCTGTTTTTCCTGAAAGAATTTCTTTCATTTGATGCCTCTGTTCATCAAATGAAATGAAACATTTTTTCTTCGCGAAATGTTTTAATTTCGAAACATTTCTGCTTTGCGAAACATGCTTTTTAAAATGCGACACATTTCTGCTTCGTGAATCTGGCCTCTGGGGTCAGATTCACGAAGCAGTTACGCAAGTACTTACGAACCTGTACATCTTTCCTCAATCTTTAACGGCTTTGATTACATTTATTAAACAGTTTACAAGCATGAAAACTTCCCAATCAACTATTGCTAGTGTTATAAACAGCCTCCTGGTGCTTCCGAGCTCATAAACTGTTTAATAATTGTAAACAAAGCCGCCAAAGATTGAGAAAAGATGTACAGGTTCGTAAGTGCTTGCGTAACTGCTTCGTAAACCTAGCCCCTATACGGGATCAACAAACGGACGTATGCAGTACTAGACCTGACCAGTATTTAGTATTAGGTGAACACTACACTACCAACTCCATAGGAACAGTCAACGGCTTAGGTTATAGACGAGAAAAGTTGGCTTCCGAACTCACGTCACAAGCTTAACAAGCTTCCTAACTAAGCTTACTAATTGTTAATGTCAATCCCGGTGACATTAAAGAGGCCGCCGCGTCCCGCTGTTCATTTTTCCCGCCATATTTGGCGGGAAGAAATCATCTAGATCTGTACCGTCGTGGTTCTGTACCACACAGGTGAGGCCGTTGTGGTTCTGTACCACACACAGGTGAGGGCGTCGTGGCTCTGTACCACACACAGGTGAGGCCGTCGTGGCTCTGTACCACACACAGGTGAGGGCGTCGTGGCTCTGTACGACACACAGGTGAGACCGTCGTGGCTCTGTACCACACACAGGTGAGGCCGTCGTGGCTCTGTACCACACACAGGTGAGGGCCTCGTGGCTCTGTACCACACAGGTGAAGTCAGTCCAAGCCGCGTGCGTCAGTGAACATGCAGCTGCTGGATTACTGACTGGCAAATTTATATAAATATAATTAGATGTCTGGAAATGAGAAGTGAAGTAATCATTGTCATTGTTGAGCGTAACGAGGCTTGGAGGAGCGATTAGCATCACCGGCAGCCCCCTCACACTAACTCATCATCATGAGGCTATGTGAGTAATCACACTCATTACTCATCTGGCAGTTATAAGCGTGAGTGACGGAGTGGAAGGAATGTTAAGGAAATGTTGCACGATGGATCTGTCTCGCGTCAGTGTTGAGGGCGGCAGCCACGGTGGTGCCACAGACGGAGGCGGCCACCTGACAGGTAGACAGCCGGGGCTTAAGAGCTAGCGCTCAACAGTGTACGCTAAGGGAGAGCATCCAGGCGAGCACAGGCCACACTCGCAACCCACACCACCAGAATACAATTGTGCACCTCACTCACACTCCAAAAGGTTTTAAAATAATTTGCAAGAGCTGTAGAGTGAGGGGAGGGGGGAGAGTGAGAGGAGGGGTGGGGGAGAGTGGGGAGTGAGGGGAGAGAGAAGGGAGGGGCCTAGCTGGGAGTGAGGGGAAGGGAGACCAACAAGGTTAACGACACATTTTTGGTGCGTGGTGACAGGTGTGAGGGTCGGGCTGGCCATTGCCTACCTTCACCCCCTTCCCCTCAGACCCTGGCGCTGCCCACCCTGGCTGCCCACCCTGGCTGCCCACCACTAGGCCGCCGCACCACCCACCTCCCAAGGGACCAAAACCCACTAACTGCATTGGATAACCCCCCCCCCTACACGTCCAGCCAAGCTCCCATTGTTTACATCTGAGGAGTGAGGCGTCGGCGGCTGTTGCTTCCACTGCCTGCACCACTATGCTCCAGCGGGCAGCAACAGCGCCACTATACTCCAGCGGGCAGCAACAGCACCACTATGCTCCAGCGGGCAGCAACAGCGCCACTATGCTCCAGCGGGCAGCAACAACACCACTATGCTCCAGCGGGTAGCAACAGCACCACTATGCTCCAGCGGGCAGCAACAGCACCACTATGCTCCAGCGGGCAGCAACAGCGTCACTATGCTCCACCGGGCAGCAACAGCTCCACTATGCTCCAGCGGGCAGCAACAGCTCCACTATGCTCCAGCGGGCAGCAACAACGTCACTATGCTCCAGCAGGCAGCAACAGCACCACTATGCTCCAGCGGGCAGCAACAGCACCACTATGCTCCAGCGGACAGCAACAGCGTCACTATGCTCCACCGGGCAGCAACAGCTCCACTATGCTCCAGCGGGCAGCAACAGCTCCACTATGCTCCAGCGGGCAGCAACAACGTCACTATGCTCCAGCGGGCAGCAACAGCACCACTATGCTCCAGCGGGCAGCAACAGCACCACTATGCTCCAGCGGACAGCAACAGCGTCACTATGCTCCACCGGGCAGCAACAGCTCCACTATGCTCCAGCGGGCAGCAACAGCTCCACTATGCTCCAGCGGGCAGCAACAACGTCACTATGCTCCAGCGGGCAGCAACAGCACCACTATGCTCCAGCGGGCAGCAACAGCACCACTATGCTCCAGCGGGCAGCAACAGCACCACTATGCTCCAGCGGACAGCAACAGCGTCACTATGCTCATGCGGACAGCAACAGCTCCACTATGCTCCAGCGGGCAGCAACAGCTCCACTATGCTCCAGCGGACAGCAACAGCGTCACTATGCTCCAGCGGGCAGCAACAGCTCCACTATGCTCCAGCGGGCAGCAACAGCGCCACTATGCTCCAGCGGGCAGCAACAGCGCCACTATGCTCCAACGGGCAGCAACAGCGCCACTATGCTCCAGCGGGCAGCAACAGCGCCACTATGCTCCAGCGGGCAGCAACAGCGCCACTATGCTCCAGCGGGCAGCAACAGCTATGCTCCAGCGGGCAGCAACAGCGCCACTATGGTCCAGCGGGCAGCAACAGCGTCACTATGCTCCAGCGGGCAGCAACAGCACCACTATGCTCCAGCGGGCAGCAACAGCACCACTATGCTCCAGCAGTTAGGGGAGGGGGGGGGGAGTCAGAGCGCCGAGCACTACACCAACCATTTAGTGGTAAATGGCGGCAGTTTGGCCGTTAGCGATATCTTGACGAGTGACGTGGACGGACCGACACATCAACCACGTTACAGAGGGCCAAATTACAGCACTTTACCGGGTATAATATAAAATAATCTCCTCAGTAACCGGGAATACTGGGCGGGTGGTCGGGGGGGGGGGGGGAGAGGCGTCTAATAACACACACACAACTGCCACGACAACACATATAACCTGGAGCGGCGTGACCGATCCCACACCAGTACAATTGTCCCCCCCCCCCCACCCACTTTGAGTCAAGAAATTGCTACGGGAAACCTTATGACGAGATGTTAACTGCTTTTACCAGTTCGTTGTGTGTCGTTTGTGGAGCAGTATAGGGGGAAGGGAGGGGGAGGGAGGGAGGGAGGGAGGGGGGAGAGAGAGAGAGAGAGCGAGAGAGAGAGAGAGAGAGAGAGAGAGAGAGAGAGAGAGAGAGAGAGAGAGAGAGAGAGAGAGAGAGAGAGAGAGAGAGAGAGAGAGAGAGAGAGAGAGAGTGTGTGTGTGTGTGTGTGTGTGTGTGTGTGTGTGTGTGTGTGTGTGTGTGTGTGTGTGTGTGTGTGTGTGTGTGCCCTATGCTCATCTCGGGAACCACCCCCCCCCTCCCCCAACACCGTTCTCACACATCATTACAATTCAACTCATTATGCAAATGAGCCCGAGACGTCACCAGGTTGACACGAACCGCTCCTAAACGTCAACAAACCCGCGTCAGGGAGCAGCTTATAAATCACACTTATAAGACCTCACACTAAACTTATAGGACAGGACAGTGTAATTCAGAGGCTATAAGTGAGTTTACGAGTATATAATGTGGGTCTGTTAGTGCGTAGGGCTGGAGGAGCGCCTCAAGGGCCTGCTGCGGACGCTTGGTCTGTCTTTCAACGTGTTCTCACATATTTACCTTCGTATTCAAGCACATGTACACTCACACATCGTGTCAGCAAGGCGGACAGTCCGCCTTCTATCATAACTCACACTATACTTTCCATTTCTAAACTTTCCCTTCACTTGTGCCTCTCTATCCTCTTTACTATCCCCCCAAAAATACAAAAAGGGACGTGGCAGCATGAGGGATGCCGATGAGATTACTCAGGACGTCAATTCGTGTCAGAGTTGGCTGCGTGCGGCCGTAACTCTCCCCTGGTGGTAACTGTCAGCCGGCCCCTAACTGTCCAAACCTTATATTAAACTGCCAGGGAGGTTTATTACCATTCCCCTGGCCCGCCACCCCTGTGGTGCAGGGGCACCCCTCCCTCCCTCCCTCCCTAGCAACATGGGAGTAACCACCCAGCAACATTGGAGCAACCACCCAGCAACATGGGAGCAACCACCCAGCAACATTGGAGCAACCACCCAGCAACATTGGAGCAACCACCCAGCAACATTGGAGCAGCCAGTCAGCAACATTGGAGCAACCACCCAGCAGCATGGGAGCAGCCAGCCAGCAACATGGGAGCAACCACCCAGCAACATTGGAGTAACCACCCAGCAACATGGGAGCAACCACCCAGCAACATGGGAGCAACCACCCAGCAACATGGGAGCAACCACCCAGCAACATGGGAGCAACCACCCAGCAACATGGGAGTAACTAGCGAGCATTAGAGGATCAATAAACCATCAACTTCGCCATTGGCAAGGGTGGGATGGCCTCAATGACCCTAACGGGTATATCTCCAATACCAAAGTATCCACACACAATACAAACGACCTGACATGACAACATACTACCACAAACGACCTGACATGACACAACACCACATACGATCAACATGACACTACCAAACACGACACTCGCACCTACATACTCATTCTCAACCACAAGACCATTGTCATACCGAAGGCCTCACAGTGACCACCTTGAACCAACAGTGACATCACGAGCGACCGTTGAGAAACAAAATGGCGACAAAATTTGAACGACTCTCCACTTCCCCACAACAATACTAAATATTTTGTTGGATATTGTTTTGAAATTACTTTTCCACGTTTGAGAAATCTTATCGTAGATATTATTTCAATAGATTTCTAAAATATATGAATACGAGCTTTATTGGTCCCATTCAAAATATATTTTTGACAACCATTTACTAATTTTTATTGATTTATTGTAGTCATTTGGAGTTTACAGTTTACAGGAAAACTAGGGCCAGGATTCACCCAGCATTTACACAATCACTTTCGAAACCAATAGAGTTTCCATCAATCATGGCGGCTGTGTTTACATTTAATAAACAACTGATGATGTTCGAAGCACGACCAGGTTGTTTATAATAATATTGGGTTGCGAAGCTTCCAAGATCGTACAAACTGTTTAATAAGTGTAAACAAAGCCACCGTAATTGAGGAAAGATGTACAGGCTTCGTAAGTGATTGCAAAAACGCCTCGATGAATCCTGGCCCAGGTTAAACTCTGTTAAGACTTTCATCATTCATTCTTCTTGTAGGAAAACAGATCTGGTCTCTAGCTGACATAACTAAACTATTGACTGATCACGGCCTTCACACCTTTCTCCAGTAACTGCACTACTGACCATGTTGCTGGCTGGTTGCTGCAATGTTGCTGGCTGGTTGCTCCAATGTTGTTGGCTGGTTGCTCCAATGTTGTTGGCTGGTTGCTCCAATGTTGCTGCCTGGTTGCTGCAATGTTGCTGGCTGGTTGCTCCAATGTTGCTGGCTGGTTGCTCCAATGTTGTTGGCTGGTTGCTCCAATGTTGCTGGCTGGTTGCTCCAAATGTTGCTGGCTGGTTGCTCCAATGTTGCTGGCTGGTTGCTCCAAATGTTGCTGGCTGGTTGCTCCAATGTTGCTGGCTGGTTGCTGCAATGTTGCTGGCTGGTTGCTGCAATGTTGCTGGCTGGTTGCTCCAAATGTTGCTGACTGGTTGCTCCAAATGTTGCTGGCTGGTTGCTCCAATGTTGTTGGCTGGTTGCTGCAATGTTGCTGGCTGGTTGCTGCAATGTTGCTGGCTGGTTGCTCCAAATGTTGCTGGCTGGTTGCTGCAATGTTGCTGGCTGGTTGCTCCAAATGTTGCTGGCTGGTTGCTCCAATGTTGCTGGCTGGTTGCTCCAATGTTGCTGGCTGGTTGCTCCAATGTTGCTGGCTGGTTGCTCCAAATGTTGCTGGCTGGTTGCTGCAATGTTGCTGGCTGGTTGCTCCAATGTTGCTGGCTGGTTGCTGCAATGTTGCTGGCTGGTTGCTCCAAATGTTGCTGGCTGGTTGCTGCAATGTTGCTGGCTGGTTGCTCCAAATGTTGCTGGCTGGTTGCTCCAATGTTGCTGGCTGGTTGCTCCAAATGTTGCTGGCTGGTTGCTGCAATGTTGCTGGCTGGTTGCTCCAATGTTGCTGGCTGGTTGCTCCAATGTTGCTTCCTGGTTGCTGCAATGTTGCTGGCTGGTTGCCAGCAACATTGGAGTAACTGAAGTGTCCACTCAAGGTGTCACAGAAAGAGGAAAATATCATCCCTCTTTAAGTATTACTTCGAAATATCAAATTAAAGAACAAACAAAAACATGGGCAAGATGGCGAAAATGTTGACACAGAGTTGCAAGCATCAACACCGGACACACAAAGGAACGTTACCTAAATGGAACATTTAGAACAAAAAAAAATAACAACGGCAGACACAATTTTACAAAATCGGCATAGCAATTCACAGACCTAATATAACTCAAATAACAATATAAATACTCTCTTGAAATACATAATGAAAACACTGAATCATCTATGAACTCACACACACGAATTGTCCAACATTTAACAAAGGAGGATTTGAATCCGCTAAATATAGACTGACAAACGGCCGGAATTCTCCATATCGCACAATGGGTGACTCGACCCTCTAAAATCACACAGGAAAATGATGCAAAAAAAAAAGGAAAAGGAAAAAAAAGAGAGGTGTGATCTGAGGAACTCGCACCAACGTCCAAGGATTTCGTCGACAAAGTTGATCGTGCAATATTGACCCAGAACACCGCTTTCATGTCAGTTTCACCTCAGTGTGCAACCGCGTATCCCGCCCGCGGCCTGTGACGGCCTCACACAAGCTATTAAAAGCTCATTAACACCTCCTGCGGAGGTGGTGGTTCCATGATGGTCCGTAATGGTCTATGGTGGTCTACTGATGGCATGTAATGGTCTATGGTGGTCCATTAATGGCATGTAATGGTCTATGGTGGTCCATTGATGGCATGTTATGGTCTATGGTGGTCTACTGATGGCATGTAATGGTCTATGGTGGTCTACTGATGGCATGTAATGGTCTATGGTGGTCCATTGTTGGCATGTAATGGTCTATGGTGGTCCATTGATGGCATGTAATGGTCTATGGTGGTCCATTGATGGCATGTAATGGTCTATGGTGGTCCATTGATGGCATGTAATGGTCTATGGTGGTCCATTGATGGCATGTAATGGTCTATGGTGGTCCATTGATGGCATGTTATGGTCTATGGTGGTCCATTGATGGCATGTAATGCTCTATGGTGGTCCATGGGTGGTCTGTAGGTTTATTAGTTTCGTAATGGTCTATGGTGGTTGTTTGGTGATTTACAATGATCTATGATGCTGTCTATACAGGTCTATGAGTACCCAAAACGATCTACGGTGCTCCTTAATAGGCTACGGTGCTTTTATTGGTAGTTTGTAATGGCCGATAGTGATTCCCTTTTGGTCCATAATGCCCAATGGTGGTAATTCTGGTTCTTAATGTTTTACAATCATTTGCAATGGTACATTGCAGTTATGTGGCGGGTCATTATCGTCTACGACTATGGTGTCCATTAGTACATCAAAATGGTCTATGGGGGGGTTCACTATGGTCCAAAATGTTTCAGGTAAACCCATGATTGTCCGTGGCGTTTTGTAGTCCCTTGATGATAATTTTGAAGTGTATGCTGACTCATTATAGTGTACATAGTGGTGCATGCAGCCGATGAGTCACAATAATATTGTACCTCATATTCACAATAATATTGTGACTCAAATAATAATATTTCTTTATAGTCTAGTGGTCTCTTTCAGGGGTGTCCGTAAAGGCTCTTGATGGTGTCTGGTCACAGGTGAGCCCGGGTGCTCCGTCCTGGATTAAAATGAACTTCGGACTCGTTAGCGGTCCAGCGTTGTGATCTAGTTCATGGCTGACAGTAGTCACGAGGAGACTATGGTGAGAAGCATGTTCCTGGAGGCCACTTGGAGGTAAACAAGGACCACTGAAGGAACAACGAGGCCATATAACAACAGCTGTTAACAAAATGTCACCACAATTTGGGGTCTGAATTTTTGTCATGAGTGTGTCTCAGTCTTTTTATATTGCCCGAAAGTGTGTGTGGAGAACTGTCTGTCTTGGGGGACTCGCCTGTGTGCTCGTGCAGGATCGAGCTTTAGCTCTTGGACTTCACTTTTTCAGTCGCAGGTCGTCTAATAAACAATCATATTTAAGTCTACATGTAAACACCTTTTCGAGGGATATATTGTGTTGGTATATGTACATATAGGGCTGATATATATAGTTATAATCGCGAACAAGTTGAAAATAATATTCACGAAGATAATCATCTTCGTGAATATTATTTTCACCTTAGTGAATATTATATATTACAAAATTCATAGATTTTGCGGAAATACTCATTAAAATTACAATATTAAAAACAATACTCAGCATTATTTGTAGTGTGTGTGTGTGATTTTGTGCCAGATATAGAGGCCACAGGGAGCCAGGTGTAGAGGCCACAGGGAGCCAGGTGTAGAAGCTGCAGTGAGCCAGGTGTAGAGGCCACAGTGAGCCAGGTATAGAAGCTGCAGGGAGTCAGGTGTAGAGGTCTCCCCAGCACCAAGCTACAGAGACTACAACACTACAAAGATTTCCCTAATTAGTTTATGACTTACATCGTAAGGCATCCATCATATGTTCCATCATCTTTCCAACATCTTCTTATTAAGATAATTCAGGTCATTTTCATGCGTATGTGACTGTGCATAAACAACCAAACGTATATTAAAGTAACCTCATACGACCTGACGTGACACAACGAACCTAATATATCAACACCTGCCGCCGGTGTTAGCACCCCCAGCTGTCACTTATTTTAGCGGGAACCTTCGCATCTTGGTGGGAACCTTCGCATTTTGGCGGGAACCTTCGCATTTTGGCGGGAACCTACACATTTTGGCGGGAACCTTCACATTTTGGCGGGAACCTTCCCATCTTGGCGGGAACCTTCGCACTTTGGCGGGAACCTTCGCACTTTGGCGGGAACCTTCACATTTTGGCGGGAACCTTCGCATTTTGGCGGGAACCTTCGCATCTTGGCGGGAACCTTCCCATCATGGCGGGAACCTTCGCATCTTGGCGGGAACCTTCGCATTTTGGCGGGAACCTTCCAATCTTGGCAGGAACCTCTGGCGGCGTCTTTCAGGCGCTGGCCGCGTGGATCCTCCCCATGAAACCCGACATTCCTCGCTAGCTTTTACAGCATTCTGAGTGCAGCATACTGAATGCAGCACCTTGTGATGAGAGAATGGCTGTGAGGAGTGAATGGACTCAGCCAACAGTTCCGGTGTCGTGATCACGGAGAGAAAACGGGATGTGGACACAACACAACCTGAGCCAAACACCCCCAAAACCCTGCTCAATATTCCACTCCCACGGTAACCAATCCTCAATATTCCACTCCCACGGTAACAGATCCTCAGTGTTCCACTCCCAGGGTAACAGATCCTCAGTGTTCCACTACCAGGGTAACAGATCCTCAGTGTTCCACTCCCACGGTAACAGATCCTCAGTGTTCCACTCCCAGGGTAACAGATCCTCAGTGTTCCACTCCCAGGGTAACAGATCCTCAGTGTTCCACTCCCAGGGTAAACACTGTATATTCATGAGTGGTGAGTAAGGAAGAACAACCAGTGAGTCTCCCACAACTCACAACACGCAGACAACAAGAAATCTGAATTTTTATGAAATCCAATTTTTTGTTATAGTGGCGTGAAAATAAGATCACTCTTGGAGTAGCGTTGATGTCTCCACCTTTAGTGGTGGTGATAGTGGTAGTGGTGGTGATAATGATGGTGATGGTAGGGTGGTGGTGTTAGTGATGGCGGCGGTGATAATGGTAGACATCACTCCCCCCCCCCCGGTGGTGGGGGGATGGGGGATGTCTATCTGAGACCCCCCAACGTGGAAGGGCAAATAACTAAACCCCCAGAAACTCTACATAATCTAAGCAAATTATTTTGCTTAGATTATTTTGTCATAAATACACAATATTTGTTTTGTTTTCAAGTTTCATTTGGTCAAAATTCTTGCTGAATAGAATGTCTGAATGTCGTTATTATGTAGACCGCAACGAACCAAGACCTTGAACGATGCTCTACTGGGCGTAGATATATTTCTTCAAAGATCATATATTAGGAGTTATTGATGAATGTTATCTTGATGATAAAGTCATCCTTAAAGGTAATTAGGATGCACGTCCACCCGGATTCACGAAGCAGTTACGCAAGTACTTACGAACGTGTACATCTTTCCTCAAACTTTGACGGCTTTGGTTACATTTATTAAACAGTTTACAAGCATGAAAACTTGCCAATCAACTGTTGTTACTGTTATAAACAGCCTCCTGGTGCTTCGGTGCCCATTAACTGTTTAATAATTGTAAACAAAGTCGCCAAAGATTGAGAAAAGATGTCCAGGTTCGTAGGTGCTTGCGTAACTGCGTCGTGAATCCGGGACCCATGAACCACCAGTGAACTGTCACCAGTCGTGATAAGGAGAGTAAGGCGGAGACAACACACAGGTCTGGGGCCGAGGCTCCCCGCCACGCTGTTATAACTCACACACACTGATTAATAATCCACTCCGCACCGTTGCTGCCAACCACTTGGGCTGGACGGTAGAGCGACGGTCTTGCTTCATGCAGGCCGGCGTTCAATCCCCGACCGTCCCCAAGTGGTTGGGCACCATTCCTTCCCCCCTCCGTCCCATCCCAAATCCTTATCCTGATCCCTTCCAAGTGCTTTATAGTCGTAATGGCTTGGCGCTTTCCTCTGATAGTTCCCTTTCCCCTTCCTGTCCGATTTTATGATAACAAACATTTTCTCGATAATATTGCTCTCGGAAGAACATAGTTATAATCCAAGGTGAGGCTGTTGGCTGCCTTAATGGTGAAGTTCGTCACGATGATTAGTATAGTGATATGGTGATTATAGCGCCACTTGAAGATGTCTGCGTTATGGTGCCCACGACGCCTTTAGGTGAACATGGTTATCAGATTGATACGGGCTCGCCATAGCCTGTGCTACTTGGAACTTTTTGTTCCAAGTAGCGAATCTTAAACAAGTTATCAGATTTACGGACACATATCCAAACGTCTCATCCTGCCTTGGAATCGAACTCGGGACAATTGGGATGTGAGCCGACTTCGCCTCCCCCCCCCCATCCCCCGAACACATATAGCCGAGTCCTC